ATTTTGTACTGCTGGAATTAGATTTTTATTGACCCAATTATAAAAGATTTGGAAATTCATCGTCTTGTGATAATCTTTATCAGTATTCTTACTATTAAAAACTAATAAGCAATTTTCTAAAAAGCCACCTCTGTAACCTGCATGTAGTACAGTAAACCTGTCTCCTTCACTTTTTATTTTAATGTTAACCGAACGTTTATCATCGTCTTTTACCCACCTACGTAATTCAGAACCATTCTTATATATCCAAGTTTCGTCCAAAAATATAAAATTTATATCTTCCCCCGAATATTTTAACTGTAGATAGCGCATCAAAAATTTTACTTTAGCTGTAATCACATGATTTCTTTCCATTAAAATTTTTCGACTATTAATTTTTTTAAATTTGAAACCCATGTCTCGAATTACTGTATATAATAAACTTCGTGAACCAGTGAATTCGAGTTCTCTTTTTGCAAAATATAACAGTTCATTTAGGTTAAAATGTTTCCCTCTAATCAAATTTTGAAAAATTTCAGCTGCAAGCTGTTCTCTTAAATAATAATTGTTGAACCATATCCCTTTTATTTTCCCAATAAATTGCGTTTTTTTCTTGCGTTCATTTTACTTTAATTTTAAATTACTTAATTTTTTGAATAACGAATTTTCAAACAAATGTCAATTATGACATATTTATTTCAAAACATGATAAAACAAAACTCCCTGTTAACTTTACAACAATTTGACAGGTATTATAAAAAAAAAAACGAACTATAGAACTAATACTAGACCTAGAACTAGAAAGTTTCGGGTTTAGCCGTGCGTCTTCAGTTCTAGTTTTAGTTCAATAAAAATATGCAACATACTGATATTTTATGCTAACTAGCGCTACCTACCACTGTCACTACAACTAACATTAGACCTAGAACTAGAAATAATCATATTTAGTCGTCTTAAGAGACGCACGGCTAAACGGAATGTTTCTAGTCCTAGGTCTAGTGTTACAGGCCTATTTTGTAACTCTCAACGACGTCGTTACGAGTCGTTTGTCGTTTATGAACGACAATTCGTATTTTGTAACTTCTAACCACATCGTTGCCTAAA